GCCATGGAAATCGGGCAGGATCCGAGCGGTTTCGCACACGGATGTTTCCAAGCAGGACTTGAAGGTGGGTGGGAATTGTCTGGAAGGGCGAGCGTGATGTTTGTTAGTCAGATGGTGATTTTGTTTTGTTTTTGTTTTGTTGTGGGTTTTTTTTTTGGTGGGGGGGAGGTCGTTGAACCAGAAAATATTATGAATAAACATAATCCATGTGGCTGGAAATGTACGTGCTGGTGTTGGAGGCTTCGGGTCCACTGGGATGTTTCCAAGAAGCTGCAAGTATGCATGTGTCTGTCTCTGCAACAGATGTTGCTTGAGTTGCAAGGTGAGCAGATTGGCTGTGTTGCAGTCTGCTCCCTAGGTGTGGGGACAGGTCTTGTGTTCACAATTTGTTTTTGTGTAGAAAATCAAAGGAGTAGCAGACCTTCTAGTGCTGACAGGGCGAAAACAGGGGCTGCTATTGCAATACCTTTGTTATCTTAGTGTGTAGCATGGCATCATAGGCAGGTATTGACCCCTTTTAAATGACCATGGCTTAATGCATCAGACTATGGCTTCTTGGATTTTGCAGTATGGACCTATTAATTGTGATTGTATTAAAAGACAGCTTAAAACATAAAATACTTCCCTCTGCTTTGCTGCATTTGCAGTAGGGATGTCATCTATTGCCAGTGAGATTTTTAGATGACTCACAATATATTAGGGGGAAATGAGGAGGAGTTAGTAACATGTGACTTGCCAGTGGGCCACCAGCAAGTCTTCCCTGAACCGTGAGCCCTACATGAAGTATGTGCCGAAGATGGGCTTTTGTGGTAGGAAGGGGATTCTGTTATGTTTTGTATTCATTTGTGCTGGTGGCTGCTATATTTCAAGGTAAAATTCTTGTTACTATTCTCTTTCTAAAATCAGTGTTGTTCTTTTCCTTGACCTTTTTAGTGGGGAAACTTACTGATAATAATCAGAGTTCCTTTTCTTATTAAGAAGGTACCAAGTGGGTTTCATTAGCTTATTTATGTTTAGTGTGTAAACTTTCTGACTTTGGATGAAGTTTAACTTTGAGAGGGCGGTATTGTAGCCATATATAGTATGGTGGGGTGGAGTCTCATCCATACATGGCATGTTATGGGTGGCATCAAAGCCTTATATGGCACGGGGAGGAGAAACTGTTCATGGTGTTGTCCACATGGAGCACTCTCTAATACTAAAAAGGCAGAGGAGGAGGTGCTGCTGGGAACTTTGTAGGGCTTTGGTGTGAACCCTATAGCTGGTTACGGCTCTGCTAGAAGAGCTTCTTTAATGCATTCTCTCCAGTATTAACATGTTATTAACTTGCTTCTCTAATACATTCTCCAGTATTAACATGAAAGAAGCTGCCAAGATGGCAAAAGATAATTGGGGCAACAAAGACTGTTTCGTATACAATGTTTCCATTCCTAACTAACAAAGCAAAGTTGTTGCAAAAGGGTGATGGGCTGGAGAACTAAAAAGAGAAAGCAAAGCTTGTATGATGGTGTGTAGAGTATTTAGTCTCATGTAATGTGTTTGATTCTCTTACTCCAAGTTCCTTTTGAGTAAGATCAAGTATAAAATAGTCAACCCTACCTGAATGCATTTCTCGTGACCCTTGTTGATATCACACTTCAAAGTTTTAAAATGTTCCTTTGGATGTAGTGTTGCCTTCTCAAGTAAAAGAAAACAACATAGTTTTCTGCTGAATTCATAAATTGCTGAAGTTGGTTAATGAGATCAAACCACTTCATTTTTTGTTCTTTTTTTTTACATCTGTCATTTGCCTGTTACTACAATACCAAAGTGTTTGGGTTGCATGTTGTAGGGCAGTGGTCACCTACCAGCAGATCTCAATCCACCGGCAGATCTCAGAGCCTCTTGGTGTTGATCCAAGGGTGGGGTGGGAGGCTGAGTGCCTGCGTGCATGCATGCACGTGTGCCCCGGCCCAGCAGGTCAGTCCGTGTGGGAGGGAAGGGACAGGGGCTAGATCGAGGCCCCGTGGTGAGGGACTGTGCCACAGAGGCAGGAGCAGGGGTAGGTTGTGGGGCTCTGGCTGGATGGGACTTACCTGCTGGGGAGGTGCACCCCCAAATAATTTTTTCTTTCTCTGCCTCGATCTGCTCCCCCCTTCTCTGCACAGTCTTACCTGCTCTGGGGGGGTGGCAGTGGCGGCGCACGGTAGATCTTGGGTTGCTTTCAAATGCCAAAGGTGATCTCTTACTTAAAGCTTGGAGACCACTGTTGTAGGGGGTTTCTTTTAAGATATGGATAATTTATATTTGAGTGTCTTTTTAAAAAGATTCCAAAGTTTCATCTTAATGTATTAAAAACATCTGACGTGCCAAGGGTCATCTTTTTAGTGCACATAGATACAGGTCTTGGACGCTGCATTTTGTATCATACTTCATTTTTTTTCCCTTTTCCATATCACTTTCAAAGGAACTCCAAAACCAGTTGATCAAGCTTAATGCTTGGTGATGCTTTCCTTATTTGGGCAAAATAAAATAACCTGCCAAAAATGCAACTGTCTAGGTGTTTTTTGTCACCAAATCCTGACGATACGCACCAAACAAAATGGTCAAAAAATGTTCAGTCTCACTTTACACTGTACACATTGACTGTAGCTCCTTTTTTCTGGCTCTCCTTTTGGGAAAAGTGAAATTAAGCTCTTCAGGGACTCTGATCTCTTTGTTTCTGTAAAGCAGCTGGTACACTTGAGTGCTGTAAAAATAGCAAGTGAAGATCTTGTGATATTGTGCCTTAGTATAAAAATAACTAAGTCTACTGCTCTCTTCTGTTTTAATGCAAAATTGTTTTATACTCTGCTCAGGAGTGATAGTGGAGTTCTGAACATGCACGCTTTTTCTACTAGAGTCTGGCCCTTTGTGTAGAGAGAGAGAGAGAAGCAGGTAATTTGAGATAAAACTCTTCCAATTTAAATATATTGCATATTATTGATGGGGTTAGAATTTTTTTAGCTAGTTAAAAGCTATAGTCCAGTCATTTTATAGTGATAGCTTAATTGTGAGAGAATAGAGTTATTGTGTGCTGTAATGATAAGCAATTGAAATTTAATTTTTAGAAAGCATTTTTTTTTTTTTTAATGTTTGACGGTTCACACTGGCCTCTCATCTTCATCCTTGTGTGATGGATCCATGAGATTGTATGGAAGACATTTGGTTTGGATAGTGTTTGTTTTTAGCAGCTTCTTAATGTGTTCTTTTCCCCTTTCCTTCTTCAGGTGTGTGTGGAATTTGATGGTGAGTCATGGGAGAGGAGAAGGTGGATAGAGGTATACAACCCAAAAATGAAAGGGTTTCTAGTTGAGCAGAAGTTGGTACTGGCTGAACGGAAGTCTCAAGTTGCCTCTACACCTGCAGTGCAGTGGCCTGCAATGGCAAGTATCCAATTGACTTTTTTTTGCATGTTAATCTTTTAAGGCACTATTTCCTATTTGCTTGTTTTGTGGGCTAGAGAACTCCTAAAGGCTTTTAACTTGGCTATAGTAAATGGCCCAACAGAATCTAAAATATATTGCTTTGAAGAGACATTCTCTAAATGTAGGATAGATGTATTGAAACGAGCCATAACCCAACTTTGCCAACATGGTTCTGGTGTGTGTGTGTGTGTGTGTGTGTGTGTGTGGTGTGTGGTTTTTTTTTTTTTTTTGTTGAATCCCATGTGCAGCCATGGTAGGCAGGGTCTAATATGCTGTTATTGGAGGCAGTGTATGCCACTTCTAAATGAGGGGATGCCCTGTATCCCTTTATAGAAAGACTCTTGTTCCCAGAACTGTGGTTTGGGAATGAAGCTGTGTCAAACTGTTTATGCTCCTGGGATTTGAATTTGCATCTTCCACTTGCCAAAAAAATGCCCTAACCCCCAGGCTATAGGCTGGCTAGACTGAGGGAACCCTCTACCCCTTCTGTTGAACCTGGGCAATGGCCAGCCAAGAGTGTAAGACATATGAGGCTGGAGAGCAAACTAGAGGAACCTGTTTCTTGCCTCGTGAGAGAGGTACTTCCTTGGGCACATCCAAATGATCATGAATGTTTGGTTCCCTGGGGACAAGTAGCAGTGGCACGCCTTGTGCAGCTGATGCTTGTACCCAGGGAACGCCTGTGCCACGTGTGCTTTGGCACGCGGCAAGTTACCCTGGGTGGGGTAGGAGCAGCTGGGGTGAGCACTGTGCTGGCCTCAGCAGACTTATCTGGGCTTTTGGGGAGCCCCCTGGGGCTGCATCAGCAGTGATTCTGCTGCATGGAGCCTGGCCAGCAGCCATGGCGCAGCTCTAGGCAGCCCAGCTCTGATTTTTGAGTGGTGCACATTGCCCATGTATGTGCTGCTCTGCTTTTTTTTTCTTTTTTCTGTGGGTTTTTTTGACCCCTGGATATCCTGCAGAGGGGGAGAAGCAGAGCAGCCCATACATAGGCAGCGCTCCCCTTTTTTTTACATGTTTGGTGCCATGTACCACACAGCTGCACTTGTCTGGACACAGCCTTGAGTTCTGTTTCCTAGTCCCAGTACTGTTTTATCCAATAACTCTTTAATGCAAAATGCACAGGCTGTCCCAGGGGCCAGAGCACCCTCCTCCATAGTGTGCTGGCTGCTGTGGATGGTTACCAAAAGTTGTCTGTGGGGCAGACATGTTAACATTAGTTTAAAAACAAACAAACAAAACTGATTTAAGCTAATGTCAATTATGCTGATAGCTGAAAGGGAGAGTTAGAATTTAACCACGTTGATAATTCAGCTAAAATGTTACACATTTACTTCAAATGAATCTTGTGAATTAATGCTCCAAAATACTATAAAAACTACATACTGGATAGCAATGTTATTAATGACGTCACCCGCACAGTAATTAGTTACAAGCATGTATTCCAGAATATTTACAGCTAGGCTGGTAAGATTCTAGCCATCTCATCCTTGCTGACACCAGTAGATCCAACTTGTACTAGCAAAGCACCCCTCTCCCTTGCTTCATTTCATCTAGCTGGAAAGTTCCAAACACCTATCTTGTTATTCCCAATGCATAACTCCTCATTCTTTGTTAATCCTGGTGACCTTTCTCTTGGAGCTCTAGGAGCCAAATACCTAGACTTCCCACCCCACTTTCAATCTCCTTGTTATTGTTGACCCACCTTTTTACCTATATTAGCATATCTGTTGTTATTCTCACTTCATCTATCCTGCCAACATTAATGTTGTGCGTGTGAGACCATGGATTCCTGGCAGATTGTCATGCTTATGTTTGTGATAATAAAACATGCCATCATCTGTTGCCTAATTAGGTTACATTTCATAATTCCTACACGGAGCTGATTGGCTCTCCCAAATTACTACCTTTTAATAAGGGCCACTAGGTAAATGGGAGCCAGTAATAGCTTGTTTCCTCAGCAAAGATGAAATGGACTAAAGCTGTGAACATATGACTTGGGTAACTTAACCTGTGTTTTAGTTGTACCTGATTTTTTTTCAAGAGGTGACTGGAAGTTGCTCTACTCCAGGGGTGGCCCAAAGTAGCACAGGCAGCCTTGTGTGTGTGGCATGCAGCAGATCATGGAGGGGGCAGGCAGCACAGCAGGAGATAGGGCAGGGAGCAGAAAACAGAGCAACAGATCAGGCAGAGAGCGTGGGGCAGAAAGCAGAGAGCAGTGATGGATTGGGCAGGGGAGGAGGATGTGCTTAATCTGCGGCATGTCAGCCAAAAAAGTTGGTTCCCCCACTGCTCTACTTCATAGTGGTATGTTTTATGTCCTCTCTACACCAGTATAAGTAGAAAGGCTGATTGTGGTGGTGTAAAGGTATTGTCTGCACCTTTAATATCTTAATCTGAAAACACCTAGGACTCATAACTTACTTGTACATATATATGTGCATGCCCAAATTTTTGACAAGAGAATTCCCAGCATGCCTTTTTTGTATGTGTCCTTAAATGTACTTTCTTGGAAAACTAAATACAAACTTAAGTTATTAGTCCATTATAAGCTGCAAATTATGAGAAATTGTCTCATTCTAGTGCTAGCAGGAGGCTTACGCCTCCCTGGACAAGTTAGCAGGGTGCCACGCACCTGCCATCTGTCTAGTACTAGTGTCCTTGAATTACAGTTCTGTCATTGTAGTGTAAAGTCAGTGTTGGCTCTTTAATAAATGTAATGAGATGGTGGCTTTCTCTGGTGATATGACTATAGAGAAGATGCTTCGTAAAAGCTCACTTCATACAGAAAATGTTTTAAAATATAGTACTGCAGTCTGCCTTGCAGAGCTTTTTGGCTAATATCTGTGAAAATCTTTGAACATGAACTATTTATGAAATACTTAGTATATAGTTATTTTAAAACAAGACTAGCAAGAGCTGTCACCTCCAACTTGAATTATTTAACTTTTTGAATGTATTAATAACTTCTTAACTAGTGGTATTAAATTTCAGAAAGTCTTTCTGAGATGTGCTAATGTCAGTAAATTTGATAGTCAAACAAGTAAAAGTGTCATGATGGTTCATGAATTTGACAAGTATTTTAGCCTGAATTTTGAATAAAGGAGAAAAGGGTGAAGAAGCAGGGAAGAAAACTAAACAAGCTTCTCTTGTTTTGTAGATTTATGAATCCTTATTGGACAAAGCTGGTTTGGGATCCACAGTTTCTGTACGCTTTCTTGGAGAAGAGAAATGCATGTTTCTTTCTAAAGATCTGTTTCAGGTAACCTTATTTTGGAATAGCTCATAGAGGTTTAGGGAAAAATCAAGCTTTATTTGTCTAGTGTATTCACTGCTGAAATCTTACATGAGTAAAACCTTGAAGCAGGTCCACATTGCTGTAGTTTTGAAAAATTGCTTTCTAGTATGGTGCTTAGGTATCTTATAAAAATAACTATTAAAAAACCTGCAGATGATTGCTCAGTGCACAAGCATTTTCTAATGCTTGGTATGAATATAATTTATGAGTCTCCTGGTTCCCTGGCTGGTGAACTGTAGTTATGCTGGTAAAATGGAGAACCATTGGTTCTCTGATTTATGGAAATAATCACCACCAGATTAGCAAGAAAGGAGCGGTGCATATATAGAGTGGAGGATAGATGGTGATTTCTACTATTAAACAGAAATTATTCACAATAGTTCAGGATAGGAAGGGGTGAAGAATAGAATGTAACAGAGTTAGTTGTTAGTCCTCATGTTTTTACACCACTCTCTAGCAAAGGTTCCCATGGGATTTTTACATAGATGTTTGGGGAATATACCCTGTAGTTTATCCTGTTGTGGCATTAGTATCCTGATTGAAGCTGAGAATGAAGTAGTCTTAAAATACAGGGAGAAGGGCCTTGTCTAATAAATAAGTACACGTTGTAAGAAGATTCTTCATTTCCAAAGCCAGAGGTTTTCAGAGCCAAGTTGATCTTAAACTAGCTCCCATGAACCACTGAGTTATACAGTAGTGAAACAAAATTGTAACCTGGTTTTTTTCTTTTTCTTTTTCTTTTTCTTTTTTTTTTTTAAAAGAAAGGCCCTTTGCCCTCTATGCATCACCTGCAATTTACTGGTATTGGTTCAGGTGAGATTTGAGGTGATAACCAGGGATCCTGGGTCTCTTTTGAAGAAGAAAAAATCAGAAATTTTCTGATTTAACCCCCCCCCATCCACATTTTTCTGTGATTTTTTTTTTTAAAAATGAAACGCCACTTATATCTGTAAGTGGTATTTCATTTTAATCATGAAAAAATGTGGATTTGGGGTTTGTTTGTTTATTTTAAATCAGAAAACTTCTGATTTTTTTTTTTTTTCCTTTTATCGCCAGGGATCCTGGTTCTCTCTGGAAAAACTGTCTTTCACAAATGTTAATATACAAGCTCTTGCAAGTTTGTTGTAGTTTTAGAACCATACACGTTACAAAAATGAACAAGGGGAAAATTGGTGGATCAATTAAACTCTATAATCTTTTGATAAGGAAAGAGACTGAAACAAAAAATAAAACGAAATGGGGATTATTTGTAGAATAATGCCAGAGTAGTTCCGGAGGGGTTTTTTTTCAAATCGTCAAAAGTTAGTCATAGGAGAAGTCATTGTATTTAGAGCAGAAATATGAAGCAGATGTATCCAAGTAGGGAGTAATATCCATCAGGTTTCATGTACATTGTTGCCAGTCTTTGGAGACTGACAGTGCTTTTGCCTGAAAAGTAATTGTGTCAAACATTTAGTGCTCTAAAGAACAACTTTTTTTTTTGACAAAATACTTTCATCTTTAATAGGATGTGGACAGTTCAAAGCTTCCTCTTACGGAGGACCAGAATATTAATGAAGAAGTTCAAGCTTTCAAAATGAAATGCCAAGATGAAAGCCATTTGTTGCAAGGTACAAGACCACCCTCTGGTGGAAAGATACTGGGAGTTACTCTTCATTGCTGATATCCACAGTAATATTGTCATAAGATAGAAAATTCCCTTTTTGATTTTCTTCCCTACGCTTCCCTGAATGATGGTCTGTTCTGCTGCCCATTCCCAAAACAGTGGGGTTTGGTTTGGTTTTGTTTTGTTTTTGTTTGTTTTAGATTGCTGGGGAACTGGCACAATTCAAGTGAAACACTAAAATATGCAATAATATAGAGACTAGACCAGGACTCCCCCTCCCCCTGCCCTGCGGTCCTTAAATATAGGGACCAAATATAGCCTCACTTTTTTTTTCTCGTGGAAGTAGCTGAGCAGTATCTATTGAATTCAATGAGAGCTTCTTGTTTGCTTGGTACAGTACATCTAAAAATCAAGCTGCTTATCTGTTTATGTGCCTGACTTCAGATGCACACTACTTTTAAAGCCTTTTTCTACATAATTCCATGACTAAGTAGAAAAGCTTTGGAGAGCTGTTTTTGGTAGAGTTAAAAATTGCTTATAGTAAGGCTCTCCCAGCAATCTTCAATACTGGTTCCTACAAGTCCTATTTTGTATAGATAAATGTGCAACTTCTGGATAAGAAGTGATACAGTGAAGTTAAGTGACATCAGAATCCTTGAAAACGGGAAGAACCTCACAAATAGAACACGCAGGGATCCATTTCTAGGTCTATTGGTTGGTGTCCATTTTTGTGACTCTGAAATTCTCAGTCACCTTGGCCCCTGATGTAAGTGGTGGCAGCCTGAGAACCCCAGGGGACTGTTCCAGCAGGTGGGCAGTACTCAGAATGCAGAGGTATTGTCGTCTAACTCGCTTCTCAGAGCTATGGCAGTACCTTCTTGGCTGGTATCATAGTGGATATGTGAAAGTTTCATCATGTTACTTTGCTCGCTATTTTCAAGTGCTGCTCACTTGATTTCTGGTATACAGTCTTGCTGGCTAGGCAGCATGGATACATGGGAAAATAACAAATTACCATAGAGCGGCAGGTGGGGGGCAGGTCAAACTTGCCCCCTAGCCCCTAGACTTGGGGGCTGCTCCCAGGCTGTATCTGTGGAGGTGGTGGCAAGGTGTCTGGGTAGGTGGCAGGGGGGTCCAGCAGGTACAGAGTGGATGGGGCTGCCACCGCTTGCCATGTCCATCTGGGACTGGTGGCCCCAAATTCTGCAGCATGACCTTCCCTGACCCCCCCCAACTTTTGGTAGCCCATGGACTGTATGGAAAGGCTCTGCAGGCTGGATCCACCTTGTAATCATGTCTTTGACACTGCTGCCATAGAGCACGTCCCATGTTCTCACTCTCTGAACCCCTTCCTTTTTTTTTAAGGTGGCAAGAACATAATTGGTTCAAAAATAAGAATCTATAGTTTGAAACCATCTACTCAGTGGTTCACAGCAACAGTTGTAAATGGCAATCTGACTAAAAGAACCCTGGAAGTCAACTGTGAGGAGGTAAAGCAGCAATTCATCCAATGTGGGTAGCAAAGGGTGGAGTGGTGGAGGCAGTGGGGAAGGAACGGAACCCACCTTGTACCTAGTAGTAGTTTTGTTCCTGCATATCTACCCAGCTGGAATGATAGAGCTAACACTTCATTCCAATAGATACAGAATACTTTGTTGGTAGCAAATGATTTATGGCACAAGTGCAGGAGCAGAGTATTGAAATGTCCTTTCTAGATTAAAAAAAAGTATGTCAAACCCATTATTTTAGAATCTCTACAACTGGTACAGATCAGGCAGCTGCTTGTTTCTGAGGATGCCTTCTAAAAACTCACATTATCAAACTTGAAGAGAAGCGGGCTTTAGTCATCTCTGAAACTTTGACTTGCAGTTCTATAAAGTTAGGTATTTTGAACGTGAAAGGTTCAAAAATATGGATTTCTCCATAATTGGAGTATTACAATATTTTTTCCCTAAATTTTAAGAATGCTTCTGTTTCTCCTAAATTGCGGAGACTGTAGGCATTTGGATCTAGAACATCTCTTAGAAGTTTTTGAAAAGCATTTTTCTGTATATTAATTTTGTTTTATAAATAGATTACTCCATTCTTTCTTTAAGATGCCAGCTTTAAAAACACTTGATCCAGAACTGATTCATGTTGAAATTATACACGGAGACGATGGAAAGTGTGGTAAGATCTCATCTATTAGCCTGCAACTATATATAATATTTCAGTATGGAAAACAAGGCTATAACTCCATTGCTTTCTGTTTCAGATAAATCCAAAAGAAATAGGGGTCTGAAAAGAAAATCATCTGAGAAAAAAGGAAGTGTTGGTGCCAAACAAACAAAATCTTGTCTTAAGGTAATTCTGTCCTTTCAAAAAAGAAAACAAAACATTAGAACATTGTCATTTAAACATTAAGGAGCATTAGGTGACATAGTTGGTTATACAGAATATAGTTTTTTTTTGTTGTTTGTTTTTTTTTTCCCCCCCCTCTGGTTATTTATTCAGTGCTAGTTTAGCCATGGGAGTAGCAGTCTTTCTTTCATTCATTCAGTAAGTGGAAAAAGAGTAATTCAGCTTGGTTGAGATCGCTTTGTCATAAAAGAAGCTTCAGGCATAGGTGATCACAGGGTTTTTTTTGCTTCCAGGGTATACTTTTCCCTTGTTAGCTGCTTGTTTAGAGAGATTTTAAGGAAGAGTATAGTTTATATAGCTAAAAAGAAATCTAGGAAGAAGGGGAATAAAATAGTTATCCTGTAACAGTGCCTACCTACTTGCCTTGGGGACTAATGGTACCAGACAGTAGCATCAGTCTTTCATAGATACTGTATGTTGTTTCTTCCTTGTAAACAGAATCTGGTAGCAATCCTAATATTTCCATTTCAGAGTCAGTGTCTGTGACTTAAATTCAGGAAAGATGTGTAGTAAAAGTCAAAGGAAGTTCTTCTGGGTGACTTAAATATGGAACTCAAAGTGGAGAAAATGGCTTAGTTAAAGAACAGCATTTCAAATAGTCTATGTAATTAGTATCAGGATCTTGGACCTAAGCGATTTTTCTTTTTTGTCAAGAAATAAGGAAGATGTGAGAGCTATTGCCTTAACATAGTACTTCTATTCATGAGTCCTGCACCAGGACAACTATTTAACTCTAATGATTAGGTGTCATGTTAGAAAATTTAATGGCTTGTCAGAGGGGAATTAGCCTGGAGTAACTGCTTTTGTGCTTTCTCCCTGTGGATAGTCTTTATTTTGCTGTAAAGGTACATTTTGAGTGGTTAATCTGCACAAAAATTGTCTTAACGTGGAATATGACTGTCCATAGAGAGATTTAGTGTAAGCTAATTTGTTCTGATTTACACTTTTTGACATAGATAAGTCATAAAAGTATAATAGATCATGATAGAAATATCTTTTAAATGTAGGACATAGAGGAATATATCAGCTGTTCAGACCCCTCTGGAGGTATTTTGTAAACGTTTTGAGATGCTCAGGTATGGCAAACCAACTTTTTTTTTTCCATCTAGTCAGGGAAACTTGAAACGAGTGTGTTTTTAAATGAGATGTTAGTGAGACTGTAGATGAATAAATCAAAGAACAGGATTTTTTGCTTGTTCTTGTTTTTGGAGAGCAGGTCTAAGCACCTTCAGCCCTTGTGGCGGGTTTGTTTTTTGTTTTTTTGTCTTTAAGATTTGGACACCATCTTCTGTGAACATTTGCTTAAATTTTGAAGTTCAACAGCTCCTTTGTTTTAGTTTAGTATCATATCTTGTCAGACTATATATCAGTCTTGACAGACTTGGTTCTAAAGCGTAAAGCAGTAACTTGGTTAGTCCTAGTGAAATGCATTGAAGCACAGATATGGACACTGGGTTTGACCCATTATTCCGCAGGGAACTAATGAAAAATATCAGTGTCCTTGGAAGGTTTTGATCATAGTATCATAGTACTTAGGGTCGGAAGGGACCTAAACAGATCATCGGGTCCGATCCCCTACCCCAGGCAGGAACAGGTGCCGGGATTGCATCGCCCCAGCCAAATATCTGTCCAGCCTCCTCTGATAAACAGGCAAGAATCTGTGTTTTGAACCAATAGTAGCTATAAAGCTGCTGCCTTCATAACTAGGTACAGATAACTATGTCTAGGCTACTATGGGGGTTTTATACTACAGGCAGTTCCATGTTTAGATTGATATGGAAGTTGTCTTACATAAACAGGTAAAATAACCTACTGCTACTGGATCTACTTTCCAGGGGATTTTCTGCACAAATTTTAGATTTCCAGATAAGTTCTAAATCTTGTTTTTGACCTTCATAGTCCTTTTTTTTTTTTTTTTTTTTTCAAGGGAGCAGTCTGTTATGGTTTGTAGGCTGCAGTTAACTAAGATAACAATATTTTTCTAATCTCCTTTCCACATTCCTTCTAATATGTTAACTTTCCTGAAATCCACTCTGGATTCTGAAACCAAATTTTCATATTCTGGGGAAACTGATACTTGTTTTGAGGTTTTTCTGTTTCCCTCATGAACGGAAAGAATAGCTGACTGGAGCCTGTTGCAATTATGAAAAATCAGTGTATAAGTATGTATATTGGATAGCTTTAAGTTGTCATGGGAGAGTTTAGGAAACTTTTTTTTTTTTCCTGCTGCAACCAAATGTTTGTATTTGTTGATCCTTTCTAGGGATCTCCTGGTCAGGGCCATGTGCAGTCGGTACCAACAGTGTTTGGTGAAGTACTGCTGGGATGCACACCTGCAACTCCTGTCAGTAAAGGCCTGAGGCACCAAGGCATGTCTCAGCCGGCTAACTCGCCTCCCAACCTTGGTGCAGAAACTCCTCCAGGGTAAGCAAGTGGTGATCAATTATTCTATTCTGTTGTTTATGGAGTATAATACTTGTCTGCTGTTGACTGGAAGTTACTGGAGAGATGGCGGGGGAGGGGGCAGATTTTAGAAATTATGGTAATTTTTTTGCATTATTTGTGGATAAGGAAAATATATTACTATATTGTTAATTGGCATGAATATATAATTACTTTGGGTTATATTCTTGCCTCGTTCCTTTGACTGGGTGTAATCCTGGCTTGGATTAGGGGGGATATTGTAATTCTCTTCATGCTTCCATACATTTTTTTTTTTTTTTAAGTTGGGAAAAAAAGATGTTTGCATATGTTCTGAGGGTTAAAACCTTTTTTAGATTTCAGTATGTAGTTAGAATCTTTTTTCAGGGGTTCAAAGTGTCTTCTGTGTAGAGAGGAGAAGCATGCTATGGAGTGAGGGTTTGGTAGTCCCGTGTATGGGGAAGTTTGGTGGTAGGGAGGCCCCTGACTTTCAAAATTTTCAAGCTATAGGAAAGGCAAGGGCACTTTAAATAAGAGATTGTGGATGTAAGTATTTTTTTAATCTCTGGTGGAACAACTGTTACAGCTCTTTGGCATTTAAATGTTTGTAAAGACAAGACTGACTTTAATAAACCATAGTTCGACAACACCTTCTATAGTCTACCATTATATGAAAGGATTTGTTTGTTGTTTTTTTTTTTTTAAATTTTGATCAGAGCATCTCTTTTCATTTCTTGTAATGAATAAGAGAATTAAGTTAGGAAAGGGCTTGAATTACCCAATTTCACATAGGAAGCCTATGTAGAGCCTGAAACAGAGTTGTGATTTTCTGACTGAGGCTGGGCCTTGAATCACAAGACACTTTTGTAATGCAGTGGAACAGGCTTCATACAGGTGTTCTGGGCTGCTTGTGCCACAGAAGGTTGATAGCTACATTCAAGTTGTAGTAAACTTTAATTGGACTACTTTTTCTCTGAGTGTATTTGGTCATAATCTACTTTTTTCCGATTTTAAAACAATATCTTATTCCTGATAGCTATGAAGGGCCAACATAGGCACGTGAAAGTGATTTGGATATTATTATGAGCCGTGTACAGAATCGTAGAGAAGTAGGGCTGAAAGGGACCTCCAGAGGTCATCTAGTCCAACACCCTGCCTGAAGCGGAATTCTTGCTATCCAAGCCATCTATTATGTAACTTCTTAGCGAAACTACAGTCAACCCTGACATCACATCCAAATTATTAATAAAGATGTTGATGTTGGGCTGAAGAGCTTACTGGCTAAGTTCATGGACATCACCAAGTTATGGGGAAGCGTGGTCATGCTCGAAGTTTGGCTACAGATACAGGCAGACGTAGACAGGCTAGCACATTGGAAGGATCAGAACCTGATGAAGTTCAATGTCGAGAAATGTAAAGTGCTCCACCTTGGGACAAGCACCCCCCCAGCACACATACAGGCTTGGCGACACCAAACTGACTAGCACCACAAATGAAAGGGGTCTGGGGGTAATAATAGACCACAGTATGAATATGAGCCAGCAGTGAGATGCTGTAGCCAGTAGGGCAAAAAATACTGTGATATGCATCAATCAATGCATCTCCAGCAAAACCAAGCAAGTGATTCTTCCACTGTACTCAACACTGGTGAGACCACAGCTGGAGTACTGCATCCAGTTTTGGGCACCACACTTTAACAAGGATGTAGACGAGCTTGAGAGAGTCCAGAGAAGAGCCACCTGTATGATCAGAGTCTTATATGGCAAGCCATATAAGGAAAGCCTGAGGGATCTGGGACTCTTCTTTTTTCAGGCTGAAGGCTGAGAGGGGACCTAGTAGCAGCTTACCGCTACATTAGGGGAGTACATGAAGGACTTAGTGAGGAACTGTTCACTAGGGCACCTAAGGGGAAAACTAGGAGTAATGGCCACAAACTCTTGGAAGACTTATTCAGGCTCAAAATTAGGAAAAGCTTCTTCACAGTCAGGGTGTCCAGACTGGAATAAGCCCCCTCCAGATGTGGTGCAATCACCTACCCTGGAAATCTTCAAGAGGAGACTAGACAGTCACCTTGCTGGGGTCACCTGACCTGCAGTTATCTTTCCTGCTTGGTGCAGGGGGCTGGACCAGATGATCTTCCAAGATCCCTTCCGGCCTTACCATCTATGAATAACACCCTAATCTGCCATGGCTGAAGGAGAATCATGGCAACCAATATCCTGCTACTGTAAAAGTTGTCAGTATATGCTGGAGAGATGCAAGGAAGAGGGCCAAGCCCCTGCTACAGAGGAACATAAAAACCCAATCTGATCATAGGATAAAATTCCTTCCTGACCCCAAATGTGGCGATCAGTCTGACCCTGAGTGAAGGGGCAAAACCTTCTATTCAGAAACCTCCAGATTTAAGTCTCAGCAGGAGAATTGGCACACGCCACTCAGTTTGTTGAGTCTTGGCTGCAGCCAACACCCAATGCCTCTGAGGAAGGCTTTTAAAAACCCCCTGATGGGTGTAGCAGAAGGCTGGTGGGGATTCTCTTCAAGCCCATGTGGCAGCCAGCAAAGCCCAGAAGCATAAGAAATATCCATAATAGGAATCACTGTACCCAGATGATCCCTGACCAATTCCTGTCCAACCTCTTACTGAACACCTCCAGTGATGAGTCCACAGTTTCCCATGGCAGTCTGTTCCACTACCTAATTGTTCTAACAGTGAAGAAGCTTTTCCTGACACCCAGTCTAAACCTATTTCCTGCAACTTCAAGCCACTGGTCCATGCCCTGTTTTCTGCAGCATGAGAGAAAAGGTGCTTTCCCTCTTTTCTTTCTTTCTTTTTTTTTTATGGCAGCCCTTTCAAGTATTTGAAGACTACTATCATGACCCCTCTTAAGTGCCTTTTCCACAAGCTGACTAGTCTTGGCTCCTTTGGCCTCTCCTTCCAAGATCTATCACTCTTGTCACCTGCTTCTGGATCCTCTCTCAACTTTTCTGTGTCCTTTTTAAAAATGCGGAACCCAAAACTGCACACAGTATTCAAGATGAGGTCTAACCAGTGATGAGTGGAGAGGCACTATCACCTCTCATGTCTTGCACCTAACGCTTCTGTTGATGCACCCCAAAACCACATTTGTCTTTTGTGCAGTGTGATGCAGCTGCAGACTCATATTGAATCTGATTTGCCAAGACTCCTAGATCCTTCTCCATAGTCATAGGCAATGCATGGGGGGGCATGTCCCCCCCCCCC